ACACAGGCAGCGACGCCCCTCACATTTCCAGGGTTCATCTGACTGACCCACCCTGTGAATAGCTCTCAGTGTCAGTGGCACAGGTTTCTAAGAATAGACCTCAGGCAGCCCCATGGCTGCTGGTAAGTCCCGGGATACCATTTGATACCCAACTGGCCTGAGTTGCCGACTTACCTAGCGTGGCCTGCAACACCAGCTGCTACCAACTGCTGAGGGGAGGGAGGGGGCAGCCGTGTTTAACGAAACCCATCCCCACCTTCTGCCATGGAGAATGGAGACCAGCAGTCTCCTGTTAATGACATGGCTTAACTGTCACAGGCTGGGAGGGACCTCAGAGCTCAACTGGCCCCGCTCTGTAATTATCAGAAAGAACAACTCAGTGTCACCTACTACAAAACATAAATCGTGGTTTGCAGGAAAGAGGCTCAGGCGGGGAGCCCAGGTTCTCTGGCATGTTCTCAGTTCTCACTGCCCCGCCTGTGTGCTCCCGTGCTAACCCCGAGGCTTGTTGGAGCCAGGGCTTGGCATCTCCAGCGGTGGTCTGGGCATCCATATCTTCCCTTTTTGGTTTAGACAGCTTGGGTGGGCAGTAATTCTCCCTGAAGCAGTATGGACTCCCAGTCTTCATCCCTTCTCCAGAACTCTAGGGTATGGGCAGAGGGAGGGACCCTTTGCCCTTGGCTTTGAGAGAACTTAGCATTTTCTGTATGCCTCCAGGCAGGTAGGATTCCCTCCTGGGGCAGTGGCTCTTAAACCTGAGAGGGTTTCAGAGCGGTGAGTTCACCTTCAGCAGGTGGCAAAACTGATTTCCTAACTTGCTTTTGGTTTAGAGATTATCCAGAAAAGTTATAAGTAAATTACTCTGGTTTGAAATAACTTCCTAACTCAGACTTGGCTGAGCCTGTTGCTGTGGGTGGGCGAGTCACACCGGAGTGCGAGGTTTGGGGGTGCTGCGTTGCTTTGGGGCATTGCGGAGTCATGATACAAGGAGATATCAGGGCCATGCCCAGGGTCAGGCACAGGCACTAGGCCTCCCTGGGAGACTTGTCTAGCTGGAGTCCCAGGAGAGAGAGTTGAGTTGGGTGCGTTTTCTTGGTAAACTAGCTAGCTTCCCTGGTTCATGCCTGCCTGTACTTTCCTCTCCTGATTACATTAATGTTGGGTCCCAAAGCCAGTCATAGGAGTTGGAAGGCTGGGCACTTTGTTGCCAGGGTGGGTGCCTCACTGAGAAGGCCTGTGCTGTGCACACAGGGAACTTGCTGCTGGGCCTACATCTCTCCTACAGAAATAAACCTTTAGAAGTTGCCAATCATATCAACCTTCAGAAGGCGTCAAATTCTTCCTGTATGGTCTCTGTGCTCAGGCCTGAGGACTCTGTGTAACCCATGGACGTGATTTGTTTTGTCTGGCCAGATTTGAATTAATCACCACCATGTAAAAATTAGACATTTAAAAAATAAAAATTCAGATTTCTTTAAAACCGGAGGGTCTTGTGTCCTTCCATAGCCTCCCCTCGTCCCCCCTGCACTGAGTGAGGGCAGAGGGTGGGTTTCTCATTAACATCGCCACTATTACTGTCGGTTTCTTGTCTGGTCAAAGAGGCAAGAAAAGTGTTCTTAGTACTTATATCACCATCAAAACATAGATCAAAGGGGCCACGTCCCCATGGTCTCATTTCTTCCCAAGGCCTGGGCCTGAAGCTTGTGTGTTCGAGACCTTTGTTCTACCAGGTAACCTGTTTGCTGTCTGGTGGGTAGCCCCACTGACCTCAGCTTCTAAATAGACCAGGGTGGTCCCTGCCCCGATTCAATAATCCAGGCCTGCAGGGAGGAGGGATTAGATAGTGGAAGGAACAGTCACTCAGAGATAATGATGATAATCTTCAGTGCTGGATGGTGTGCTTAGCACTCTTAATTTTATTGATAGGAAATGCATAGTTTACACCCCAATTCGCATGTACTGAAAGGTTAAATTTCTTGTCCAAGGAGAGGCAGGGGCAACTTTAATTTAAGGAGGACACTGGATTGACTCTCTTGCCCCAGCACCCCTGCATGCCCTCCTCGCTGGTCTTGCCAACCCCTTCGCGCTGGTTTGAATAGGAGCATAAAGAGGGGACAAGGGAGGGAGAGGAAAGGTGGCCCCTTCTGCTTTATTTGAGTGGAATAGACTGATCCTGATCCCTAAAGCCACAGGGGAGTGAGACAATACCTTTTTTCTTTTTTCCCTTTTTTGTTTTCTAAGGGAATGGATTTGAACATACTCTTTCTCTTTTTAAGGTGTTACTTCACTCTCTTAAAGAACAAAGAACGTTCTATTTTACGGTATAATAGTTTTTCAGAAAGTAGGTAGAAATTAATTACTTCGAAAAAATAATTTCCTACAAAAGGTGGCTGCTACATCCCAAGGCGTTGCCAGGTTAACAAGTGACAGCGTGGAATAATTAAAGAAGCCTTGGAATCCTGCGCTTCTGGGCTTCAATTCTCACCCAGCATTTTAAGCCGTATCGCATGAGGTCGCTGAGCCTCAGTACAATGGACTTCACAGCATCTACTTGCTGAATTGTTTAGACTGGAGCATACAAAGCACTAGGCATATTGTACTGGCAAATAGTTTGTAATAATAAATGTAGTTATTATGTTTGAGAAATTGAAATGGTGTGGGTGGGGAGAAGAATAAAAAGAAAGAAAAAAACCCTTCCTGTTTGCATGATAGTTAGATTGGGGATTGGGTTTCCTAGGCCTGGCTCCCTCCTGACGCCATCAGGCAGGTCTCACATCTTCAGGAAAACTGCTGAGTCATCACAGCCGGGGGTGGGGGTGGGGGGTGTGCATGGAAGGGAGACAACCGAGGACACCCCATCCAGAAAAAGTTGGAGGGTTGCTTTGCATAGTTGTGTTGAGGTGAAGGGGCCCTTTTACTCCTGCGCTGATGGTATTGGGTATTGCCAAGTTGGTTTTCATAGTAAAATGAGGGGCAAAGATGTCAAAACCACATTTTGACTAAGAAGAGCTGCCAAGGGAAAGGGAAGTAAAGGAAGACTTGGTGATGGCACAAAAGCTTCTGCATGGGACCATTATCTCATCAGCCTCCCAGTCTGGCTGTTCTTATCAACAGTTTCCTGTGACGCCTTAGTTTTATCATCTGGAAGGATTTCTGACAGCCAAGGGTTTTGGGCTAACCAGTGGTGAGCTTCTTGGTACTTTTACGTGTCTATTTCTTATTCTCGAGTGAATCATTCTGAGATTCTTGCCCACAGCCCGGGAGATTGAAGAATAAACTGAGAAGATATAAAGGCATCTAGCCGCCCGCACCATGGGAGGGCGGGGGCGGCCAGACCCACACCATCGCCCTCAGGACTCCCAGCCAGTGTCTTCAGCAGGCTCAGCTTCTACACTGTAGTCTAAGATTTACAGTACTGTGAATTGATTGGCAGTGAAATTACTCTTTTAAAACAAAATTCAACACAACTTGCTGACAGTCATTGAAAATCAGCTTAGGATCCTCAAGAACTACGAGCTTTATAGAAATTATTTGGTATGAGATGTCTGGCCTTCCCTGTTATAGAAAATCTGGAAAATATAGAAAGGAATAAAGAAAAAAGTGAAACACTGATCTGGTCTCGTGGCCTCTGAGCTTTTTCTATTCTGACTCATGTCTTATTGCATTGTAATTACTTGTTTTCATGTCACCCCCCACTGTGCTGCAGGCCACCGGGGGCCAGGGGCAGGTCCCACTGTTCTTTGCATCTGCTTGCAGGCATGATATCACAGGGTAGTCAGGTCTTCTTGATGAGAGGAAAGGGCACAAGCTTTAACATCAGGCAGGCCCTGATTCAAATAGTCAGTCTTCATAGTAGTTTTCTTTTGCTGTATAACAAATTTAGAGCTTAAAACATCACCCATTTTTAGCTCACTGTTCTGTAGGTGGAAGGCCAGATGGAGGGACCCAGGCGAGCTCTGCTAGCCTACCTGCTTAGGGTCTCACAGGGCCAGCCCAAGTCAAGGTGCTTGCCAGGCTGGCCTCTGATCTGAAAGCTTTGGGGAATAATCTACTAGTTTCATTCAGGTTGTTGGCAGAATCCAGTTCCTTGTGGCTGTAGGTCTGAAGTCCCTGTTTCCTGCTGGCTGTTAGCTGGGGGACCAGTCTGTCCTCGAGGCCACCTCATTTCTTCTCCTGGGGTCCTCCCCATCTTCAAAGTTCACACAGAGTCCTTTTCATGTGAGTCTCTGACTTCTACACTACACTACGAGAAAATTCTTTGCTTTTAAAGGGCTTGTGTAATTAATTAAGCCTACTTGGACAATTTCCCTTTTGCCGTATAATGTAACATAATCAAGAATAACACCAGGGATCAAAGGTCATGGGGCCACCTAAAATTCCACCTGCCACTCTCTTCCCCTTACTACTTGAGTGACCTGGTACAGGTAACACAACCTCTCTGAACCTCTTTCTTCCCTTCTTTCAAGTGGGCCTAATGAAAGGGTTTGATTGAGCAGTAAATAAGGTGAGATAGTAAGTGCCCCTGCAGTGCTTGGCAAGGGTTGATTTTTTTTTTTTTTTTTAAACCTTCACTTGTTAAGAAAATTTTATTTGAAATCTGTCTTGTCTGATTCAGATACAACAAAATTGTAAAGGATCATCTCTCTCTGAAGTTTTGTCATTCTAAAAAGATGTCACAGTTCGTAATTTTTCTGTGCACAGGAATAAAAAAGAAACAAAGGGCAGATGCCTTCGTCAAAGCCTTTCTGTTTCTCCCTTCCTTCCTCCCAGCCCCCACCTCAAAGCTTTGGTGTCTCCACCTCAGCTGCTGTCTCTGGGGACACGAGCTCTCTGCTTGTGTCCTCAGACAAGTGGTGGCTTCTCGTCAGAGGCTGGCCCAGCCCGCAGCTGGCCCCTGCCACTCAGCGGGGTGGCCGGCCTGGCCAGGCGGAGGCTGCGGAGGGCTGGGGCCTGCCTGATGCTCACCCGGCTCTGCCTGCCCCTCTGTCTGTGCCCCTCAGGAGATCCCGCACGCGCTCACGCTGGATGCCCTGCTGGAGATGAACGAGGCCAAGGTGAAGGAGACGCTGCGGCGCTGTGGCGCCAGTGCTGAGGAGTGTGGCCGCCTACAGTGTGCCCTCACCTGCCTGCGGAAGGTGACAGGCCTGGGTAGGTAGGCCTGCCCCCCTCTCCCTGCACCCAGGCCTCTGTGCCTGCCTTCTCCCCCAGGCCTGGCTGGGTTCACTGGGAGTTGGGGCCTCTGTGGAGGTGGGCGATGAGGGGGAGCAGGCGTGGCCCAGGCTTTCTGGGGCAACTCGGAAAGGCCACGGTGGACATTCAGAAAGTGTGTGAGAGTCCTGATCCAGGAGGGAGGCTCTCCCAAGTTCCTGGGGGTTCCGGATCCTGATTGGTATGGTCAGCCCCAACCTGGGGAAGCTTTAGCTATTGTTGGAAATGCCAGGCCAGTCTGCTGGGCCGGCCCTGAGTGATTTCCCCTCTGTGGAGGGCTCTGTTAACCCTCCACCAGCTTCCTGCATTCCAGTCCCAGTCCCCTCCCCGCCTTCTCCTGGCCCCATCTGCTGGCTGGGCTCTGTGCTCCGAAGGCACACGCTGATGTGGGCTTGGCCCGAGCCAAGCACGATTAGAGAAACTGTATGGCTTTTCAGCTGCGAGTGTGTGCGTGGCTGTCCCAGGCAGAGTGTATAATCCTGGCTTTACGACGAGGTCCTTGGGAATTATTCGCGGGCTTTCTAAGCCCTGTCTTGGAAATAGCTTCAAATGCCTGATTTAATGCTTGCACTACCACACAGATAAGGCATGAAATGAGCCTAATGAATGGAATTAGGCCCACTTTTTAATTATCTGAGCCTCCTGTCTTATCTCCAGCTGCCTGAGGCTTAAGGAAGTCACTGAGGTTTATATTCTGCTTCATTTTTTTTTTTTTCCCAGAGAGGATTGGGCTTAATCTCTTCTCTGGCCCCCTTGTATCAGCTCCTCTGAACACAGAGCACAGTGTAGAGAGTTTCACTCAATTCAGAAAATCTTGACATGTCAGGCCTCCCAGCAGGTGCTGAAAATATACATGACAGAGGCGTGCTCAGCATTCTCTCACATTTTACAGAGGAGGAGACTGAGCCAAAAAGGGTAAGGGGCTTGGTCAAGGACACATAGCAGTCAGTGGCAGAGCCAGGATTTGAGCCTTGGGCTCCAGTGGCGATTGGGTAGTTTCCATGTGGAAGCGTAGAAGGACTTGCCACACAAGCTGGAGTCTCTGGGATAACTCGTCAGCCCTGCCTCCCTTCTTATGCCTGGAGTTTAAGGAGTTGTGGAGGAGCCAGCTGTTGAGTGGTGGTGACCTATTTGTGTCATGAAGGTTTCTGTCTGCCTGTCCCAGATGCCAGGATAGGGAGATAATTTATTAAGCACCTATTGTGTGTCAGGCACAGGACACACACATTGTGTCTACACCCTTTTAGGAGGAAGTGTTAAGCTTACTTTGTAGCTAAAGCATCTGAGCATTGGAGGCATTGGGTGAGGTGACTGGGGTCCCATACCTGGCACAGGGCAGAGCTAGGCACTGAACTCAAGTTTCTTCCTCAGAGGGTACCTTTTCCTCTGTGCTCAGGAGGCCCCTGGGAAAGGGACCTTTTCTGTGTTCCTTCTCTCTCATTCAGTCTCAGCTTGTAGAGCCCCTGAATCCCCAAGAGAGCCCTGGCCACATCCCAGTCCAGAACATAGGCATTTCATCTGCCCGGTGGTGACCGTGCCTCATGAGCACCTGCTGTGACTGGGTGGGTACCAGTGCTCCCCTGTATGCTGGGTCACATAGAGCATCTTCATTGCACCCCCACAGGGCTTGGTGAGAGCAATTTAGTTGCAGTAAAGATGAGCTACAAATGAGACTGCCTGGGCCCTGCACTCTGCTCGGCCACTTAGAGTTTGGGGGACATTGGCCCGTTATTTAACTTCACTGTGCCTCAGTTTCCTCATCTTTAAAATGGAGGTAATAACAGTACCTCTCTCATGGGGTTGCTGTGCAGAGGAAAGGAGTTAAGGTAAGGTGCTCAGACCAGAGCCTGGCACGTATTAGGTGCCCTTTTCAGAATTAGGCCTGTGCAATGATGGAAAGCATTGGCGTCATTTCTCTTGTGGCCTCTGGCCTTGAGAAAGGTGAGTGGAGGATGGTCTCTGTGCTGGTGAGTAGAGGGTGACCGTTCCCGCTGGTACTCACTGTCCATCCATAGCAGACATCACTAATCAACCCACGAGCTCTTCTACTGAGCGACTCCAGTCATTCTCAAGCAGCCGCTGCCAGTTGGCTGGTGTTGGCATGCACATCAAGACCCATTTGCCATCCCTGAGCTGGCCCAAAGTGGCAGTGACTAAATAGGCAATTTGTAGAATTTGGGGCTTATTTCCTTTGGTGGCAAACTTGCTCATAGATTCTATGAAACTCATTATTTCATCTGCTCTACAGGAAACGTGTTCAGTGCCTCTGATAGGCAGTATGTAAGCTCAGGTATGTAAGTCGTGGCTGTAGTTCAGAAGGAGCAAGCAATATGGAAAACAAAAGCTGATAACTCATTCTGTCCAGTTGATTCATGAGTAGAAAGTCACCCTGCAGTGAAGTCAGGGGAAGGGTATTTAAAGAGGGGATGGAATGTACAAAGAAACCTGATGAATTGTGAAGGCTGATCCCCTCTCCAGCATTTCTGGTCCCTGGCTGTGTGGGCTGTGCTTGACCACCTCTGAGGACAGGGAGCTCATAACCTCCCAAAGCAGTTCCACTGTAGGTTATTCAAAATCAATAGCATTGCGGGAGGAGGCACAGTGCTGTGGTTGGGATCGAGACTTTCAATTCCCATCCCACCACTTTCTTAGCTGTTTTGAGCAGTGTATGTGGCCACTCTGAATCTCAGTGCCTCACCTGCGCACTGGGAAAAATAACAGGCATTGCTGGGATAGGAGGATGGCAGGAGACAGGGTCTAATACAGCACATGGTAAAAGGATTTCAGTGGGAAAATTCATTTTGTCTTGAGTAAAAATCTGTCTTCCCGTACTTTCCTCTCATTGAAGGAGGGAGGTATCTTCTCCTTCCCGATGACAGCCTCTCGGGTGTCTGTAGATGGGGTCCCTTCTCCCTGCCCTCAGCCACTTGGTATTTCTCCAGATCTTACAGGGTTAAACCTAAAGTCCTTAGCAAGACATCCAAGGCCCATCCTGAGCTGGCCGCAGCTGGACTGACCCCTCCAACTTCATCTCTTGACTCTCCCTGGCTCATCCTGACCTCTCAGGGCACACGGAACTCTGTAGTTACTGGAAGGTGCCGTGTGCTCTTACCTTTGCATGTGCTGTTCCCTCTGCCGGGTACACCTTCTCCACCTTCTTCCTTAGCAGCTCAGCCCAGGTGCCACTTCCTCTGGGAAGCCTTCCTTGGCCCCCCCCCCCCCAGCCCATGGCTGATTTAGGGTCCTCCTCCACTACAGAGTCCCCATGCATCTCTGAGTCCCAGCACACAGCCTACTGTGTTGTGTATCTGTCACCCTCATTGGACTTCCAGGCACAGGATGTGTTCTTTTTATGCATGTACACTAGCATCCAGCATGTGCCTGAATGAGTGGAAGACTGTGCCACGGAGTTCACACCTGCAGCGCCTCAAGGTCTCAGGGGCCTCAGGCAGAGGTCACGGTAGGGGCAGCTCAAAGGCACTCATAGGCTCCCGTGGCTGTCGATCCTTTTCTACCTGGATCTTTTCCCATAAGCCCCAGGGCAGTGTGCTATTGTAAGGCCAAGGCAGCCCCTTTTCCTGACATTTGAATTTTCTTAAAGTGGAGTTTTCTTTTCCTTCACATACTCCAGCTTCCCTTTTCTGGCTCTTAAAGATCAGCCACCTCTTCCCTCCTGGGTCACCCATTTCTGGGGCAGGTTTCCCGGCCTGCTCCCTCTAGCCCTGCACAAGCCATTCTTTCCCTCCCCGGGCCTCATTTCCTCGCCCTATAAAGCAGAGGTAGTAATATCTGCACTGGTGGCTTCAGGGCCAGCTAGATAACGTGGAAGGCAGTGGGTGTGTGTGAGAGGCCTTTGTAAACTGGGTAAAGGCTGATAGTTGAAGCCTTCCATTAAGGAATGGTGTGACCTTGGACAAGGTGTTTAACCTCTCTGAACTCTTGCCATGTGCCCGTCTAGCTCCAATCACCTGTGACTCTACTTCTTGTCCTGCAGGAGGGGAGCACAAAGAGGACTCGGGCTGGAGTTCATTGGACACTCGGCGGGAAAGTACCTCAGGGCCTTCCATGGACACAGTCTCAGCAGCCAGTCTCCCCTGGACCCCAGGGAGTGCCCAGCTGGGCAGAGTGGGCAACAGTGCCCAGGGCCCACGCTCCGTCTCTGTGTCAGCCCTGCCCGCCTCAGACTCCCCAGCCCCTGGCCTCAGCGAGGGCCTCTCGGACGCCTGTATCCCCCTGCACACCAGCGGCCGGCTGCCCCCCCGGGCCCTGCACAGCTTCATCACCCCTCCTGCCACACCCCAGCTGCGGCGACACGCCAAGCTGAAGCCGCCGAGGACGCCCCCTCCTCCCAGCCGCAAGGTCTTCCAGCTGCTGCCCAGCTTCCCCACACTCACCCGGAGCAAGTCCCATGAGTCTCAGCTGGGGAACCGCATCGACGAGGTCTCCCCGATGAGGTGAGTGCCAACCAATGTAGAAGTGTGGGAAGTAAAAAGCAAAAGTTGCCTCATCTCTCAGTCCAGTCCCCAGACCACCTTAGCAGTTTGGGCTGAGTCCTACTAGATTTCTTCCCGTATGTTGTATACGCACACATGAAATGATGCCACGTTATCAGTCAGGGCAGGCTGGGTTATGCTGCAGTAACAACCTCCAAATCTCTGGGTCTTAAAACAACAAAGATTTCTTTCTTGCTCATGCTACCTGTCCATTTTGGATCAGCCTCCTTCTGGGTCCCAGGCTGGCAGAACAGTCACTGTCTGAAACATTGCTGGGCACTGTGGCAGGGGGACAAGTGAATTCTAGATGCTGTACACTGGCAATTAAGTACTCTTTCTTAGAAGTTCCACTCACCATTTATGGCCCTACCCCAACAAGAGAACCAAGAACTACAGTTCTGTATGTGGCCAGAAGGGGAGAACTGGAATATTTGGCTCAAACCACTAATTACTATCAAATACTGTGCACTCTGTCCTGTATCTTGTTTTTTCAACTTACTTGATATCTCTGAGAATGTCATGTTAGTACATCTTGAAATATTTTACTCTTTTATTTATTTTTCAATTAAAAATTTTTTTTCTATGTATTTTGAGTAGGTGATATAGTCTTGTGGTCCGGAGTACAGCAGCTTTGTGGCTCCTGTCTGTTTGTCTCTGTGGGGGGACACTGTAAACAGTCTACCCCACCATTTCTACTCAGTCACCTGGTTCCCCTTTCAGGAGCCAATTAGATTATCAGTTTTGTGCATATCTATAATTACTCAAACATCCTCATTTTTGTAACTTGTTTATACCATTCCGTTGTACAGTTTATGCAACTCGTCCCTCTCGATGGACATTTAGGTCATTGTCTTTTTTGCTATTACAGAGATTGCCTTTGTCATGTACCCTTGTGGGCAGGACAGAAGGGAAGGAGGGTGTTTTCTCTGGGTGCTTCTTAACTTCTTGTACCCCTGAGGGTTGGAGCACCTGGCTTCTCTCTTTGAGCTCTGGTCTGTCTTGGGCCACTCTTTGGTACAACGGTCTCGTTCCACTTGTCCTGGTGCAGGCTGTCTTGTGTCCTTTATGGGATGGTCCCTGGACAACAGTGATGGTTTTGAGTGTGTCACTCGAGGAGAAATCCAGGTATTACCCACCCTGCTGCTCCCGATCAGCCTCTCCTGCTGGGGTCTGGGGCCCACCCAGAAGGGACTGTGGAGTGGTAGTGACTACCACTGTACATGGGTCAGTCAGAGAGGGCCTCACAGCAGGCTACACCCAGTGCCTCTGTTTCTCATTTTCTCCTGAAAAGAGCATTAGGAGGGCCCTGGCAGAGGACAGAGTCTCAGGCCGATGATACTACTTGGGATTCTGAGTCTAGTGCTTTCAGTGCCTCCAGAACCAGTACTGACATGCAGGCTCAGGCCACCCCACTGCCCTCTGTGAGCCCTGAGGGCAGACCAAGTGTCCTGGCTCTTCCAGCTCCCTGTGTCCCTGGGGACAGCGGCAGCCCCGGGGGAAGCATTGCTCAGGGCATGTCCCAGCTGACCCTCCCTGGGGCCACCTTTCTGCTCTGCACAGCTGTCCTCCCTGCCCTCTTGCCCACCACATCCTCTCTTGCAGGCTGACCTGTTCAGCCTGCACCCTGGGCAGGGTCCCCCCACTTATGGGTCGTGTGACCTAGGGAGACTCTGTGAGCCTCAGTTTCCTCAGCCATGAAGTGGGGTAAACTCTAAGGACCATGCTGGGTGGCTAGTGAGGCTTACATAAGCTAACGTATTAAAGCGCACAGCACAGGGTGTAGTTTTGATGTCCTCTGAGAAGGCCCTAGGAGGGCCCTTCCAGCCCTTCCCATTGAGGAAATGTAGAGAGTGCAGGGGCTCCCAAGGTCACGCAGCCAACCTGGTCCCCAGCCAGGCCTCAAAGTCCCACATCCCAGCCCTTTGCCCACTCTCTCAACATGTGACATAATCCTTCATGTTTTAGGCTCAGCGTGGTGACATAATCCCTCTCTCTCGTTTTTGTCTCCTCCAGGTTTGGTAAGAGTGATTCATTTCTATCTCCTCTGCGGCCCGGGAGTCGTGTCTGTGGTGCTGTCCCCATTGGGGGTGAAAATCTTTGACCCTCTCTTAGCCCGCTCGGCCTTGCCATAGTCCAGCAGCAGAGGTGCTGGTAACCACCTCAAGAAATGGCTCTAAGACAGGTGGCCCTAAAATGACAGGCTGTTCTCTGAGAAGCAGAGACCTTGAGAGGGTCACGGTCCATGACAGGCCCATGACAAGCCCTTTCTCCACTTTGCCATCCCCACAGCAACCTCTCTGGCAGGGACACCTGCCCGCAGGGCTACCACAGTAAAGCAACGCTCCCAGGAGGGAGTCACTATCTGTGTGGCTCAGGTGGACTTTAACCATTCTCAGGACCTCAGCTGATGTCTCAGGACCCCTCTCCTCAGGAGAGGGACATTCCTGGAGGCAGAATGCAGCTCACCTCTGAATGAGGTCCTGAACGACCAGAGGGTGCAACTGTCCCTTTGGGGAGGCAGAAAGCCCAGGCAACTCTGGACCCTCTTTTCCATCCCCCACCCCAGTTGAGAGCAGGTTCTTGTGCGTGGCTGTGCTGTGGGGCCCCTCCCTCATGCATTGAGACAGAGGGAGACAGCCGTGCCTCTGGAGTCTGCTCCTGCTTGTCCGAATGGACATACAGACACGTGTGTTTCTGCCTGAGCCAAATAGCAGTTTGTTTTCATCCTGAGCCAGCTAAGGAGGGAGCCATAGTGGTGGGCGCGGTCTTGGGGATCAGGAGGGCTAGAGCGGGCAGTGACTGTGCCAAAGTGGAGCTGGCTGCTGGAACCCAGGGAGGCATGGGGTGAGGGGCAGAGAAGCTCTCCCTGGACATAGGCAGAACCTCCCAGGGCCCTTCACAGAGCCCTGGAGGAAAATCTAGTACTTCCATGTCTAGGACAGCGCTGGCCCTGCCATCTTCCAGTTGCCATAATAATGCGGGGGTCTAGTAGCAACACTGTTAGGCCTTCAGGACCAGGATTTCTGTCTAGATCACGGAGAGTTGCTGCCTGGCACACATTCCATTTCGCATCTTCCATCACAGGCTGCATTCAGAGCTAGACAGCTGATGTCTCCTTTTCCCATGGTCTGTTTCTCTCAGGCTGGCAGCTAACCCTTCAGACCATGTGTTTGATGGCCTTTGCTGCTGACCCAGGTGGGGTGGGCCTCAGGAGGGACCTGCTACAGGTCAACCCCATGGCAGATGTGCTAGAGAAAGCTGCAGGGGGGACAATTGAAGATTCCTCAGTCATCAGGAGGTGGCAGAGGGCCTTTTTGTCCTGATCAAATTCCCCGTAGTGTGGGAGAAGTCAGTACCTCCCACGTGCCCTTCTCCTGGAGTCGGGTATGTGGTACTTGACTTTAAGTGAGCCAGCACTTAATGAGCACCAGCTGTGTGTACGGCCAGCACTCAGGGCTGAGGGGGGCAGTGGCCACCCTCAGAAGGCCTGCTGACTTAGAGGACATGAGATGGCCACAGATCTCTTGAGTACTGTGTTCCTGACCTCTCTGGGTCACAGGTCTCTGATAATTGGATAAAAGTCTAGACTCTCTAGGGAAAAGCCTACAGCATTCTGCTGACCAGTCCAGAGGGTTCCAGACTCCTAAGGCCCTCATGGGCTTTGGGAGGAGATAGTGCTATATACGGGGGTGTGATTTGGACCTGCAGGCTGCCAGCGGGTGGAGAGATTGCTTCTAGCTGCTCTTCCATAGTCCAAGCCTGTAATGCCATAGACACTGGGTGTGCCTGTCCTTACAGGGAAGCCCAGATGGGCAAGCAGGAGGGGCATCACAAAGTTTATGGCCCATTTCTCAGCAGAGGAGGGTGCCTGCGACATCCCCAAAGGCTGAGGCTGTGGTGTCTGAGCAGGGCTGGCCTGTGTGAGAATGTGGTCAAGCTTCACCTTGTCCTCTCTCTGCCTGCCAAGATCTGGCAGTGGTGGCTCTCAGATGAGTATTCTCAAGGTACTGCTGGCTGGAAAGGTACCAGCTGAGCTACGTGGCCGACTAGCCTCATAGCCTTCAGAAGGTCTAACAGCTTCCATGCACTTAGCAAGAAGCAGCCAGAGTTATGGCCTTGCAAACTGGTGGCCTGCAGGTGCTTCCGTGAAAGGGAGCGAGAGACCGGGGTGTGCGGAAACTTCTCCGCTCAGCTTTCAGCTTTGCCTCTGCCTTTCAAGCCTGTCTTCCACCTAAGCTAGAAGCTGAACAGGGGCGACAGACGGAGCCATCTGCAGAGTCTGGGTGGTAACACGTGCTAGAGAAGCAAGCCAAGCAAGAGGGTAACACTGCCACTCCCCCAGGCCAGCTTGGCCTGTCCCTGTTTTGATAGACATAGGTTCAGGGAAGTGTTTCTCTGTTATGTAATAAACCATTGAGCCCCCATCTAGCCTGTGATCTCTGAAAATAGGAAGTCACAGGCACAAGTTGTTCCAGGAAGGGCTTCCTCAGCCTGCCTAACCTGGTCTCTTTCCTTGCAGATCTCCTGCATGGATCCCCACAGATGGTACGAAGGGACATTGGGCTCTCAGTGACACACAGGTAGGCTCGGCTGGCTCAGGCAGGGGTACAGGGCTAGGCCGGGCCCCACATAGTGCCTTGGGCCCCGTCAAGGTGGGGAACTTGTCCTGGCCACTGTTTTCCAGGGCTCTTGCCTCTGGTCTGCCTGTCCATCTGTGTGATGTCGCCCCACACCTGCTGAGCCTTGTCGCCAGCGGCCATGTGCACTTTCCAGTCCCTCACCTGCTCCTCCTTGGGTCTCTTCCTCACTCTGCTGAGGGAAAACTCTTCCTCTCTTCCCAGGACAGGTCCCAGGAGAAATAGTGTCACAGTCATGGTGGAGGAGGAGCTAAGAGCTTCTTCTACATCCAGTGTGATGTCGTGCAGGTCCTAAAACCAGACACACATCGGTGACCCCTGTGGAGCTTGTTGAAAATCCAGAATCCCAGGCCCCATCGCTAAGGTTCTTGGCCTGGCAATCTGGATTTTTCACAAGTTCCACAAGGGACTCTGACACTCATATGTGTTGGGAGGGCTGACGTGGGCCCTTGGCGTGGCCGTCTAGAGGGTGTGGTTGGCACTTGTGTGGTTGGTGTGTGCCGGCAACAGTGGGTCTGGGTGGTGTCTTGTAACCCTCCACCGCTGGCAGGATGGTGCCTTGGGGTGCCTGTGCTCTGACCATCCCTGGTAAAGGCTATTGTCAGTGCAGCTGGGAACACTTGTATGTGGTGCTGCAACTTGCCAGGGCCTTTCTTTTCCCCTGGGGAGTGTGAGCTGCTCTCCAGCCTGTGCGGGAGGCTGGTCTGGAATTCTTACCCAAGGGAGACACCCGGGCTCCCAATGGTTGAGTCACTTTTCTGAGGTCACACTGCCAGTAAGAGTGCTTGAGCCTGGGGGTACCCAGGGACCTGCTCTTCTGTTTGGAGCTTTGTCAGGGCTGGGATGCCCGTACCCCAGAGCCTTGGGGAAGGGGGTCCCAGGTACCAACAGACAACTAAGATGGGGCCCTTGGAGCAAAGGTCAGATTGTGTCCCTTGGCCACACCTGAGGTGTCGAGTGTGATCTCTCAAGGGCTGTGGGATAGCTGCTGAGAGCAGGACCTTTGAAGGGGTCCCGCATGAGCTGCATGCCTATAGTTAATAACCTCTCCAAGCCTGCTTCCCCCTCCGCAAATGGGATGGTGATATCTTCTTCCCAGTCTTGCTATGAGGATCTAATGGGGTGACGTGTGTGTGAGCATTACGTGTCCAGAGTGGGCAGTGCTCCGTATTTGACCTTGAGCTCCAGCTCCAAGAGAAGATGGCATTGTTTGAGGGGCACCAGGACTAGCAGGTTCCCTGTTTTATTTTTGTCTTCACTGCACACCTGGTCATACAGAGGATTTGGGGCTAAGCTCACTTGCCCTTTGGTGTTTGCCAGGCTGCTGCTTCCGTCCTCCTGTGGCTGCTAGTTCCCCGGCGGTTCTCCCAGTGGGGCAGCAGCCCTGCTCTGGCCTCACCAGGCTGCCTCACCCCACCCCTCCCTGGGCCCTGGGCTTGGGGAGATGAGGTCGTGGTCACACCTTCTTGATTTTTTAAACCCATGGTTCAGGCCCCTCTCAATAAGAAGGTCTAAAGGGTTTTGGTCTAATCATTGGCGGGAAAAAAAAGAAAGTGTCCCATGACCCTTCCCTGGTCCAGGAAGGCTTTTCCTCACCTCCCTAGAGCCTGCCCCTCTTCAGTCCCAGAGCCGGTGGTCATTGAGACCCACTGTTAGGATCTCCTAGTGGAGGAGGTCATCTGAGACACCACTGCATTGTTCCCCTTACCCCTAGTGTTGACATGAGAGGAAATTAAAACCCAAAGAGAGAGAGAGAGAGTACACACTTACACACACCTGGGTCCTGGGGAGGCTGGATCAGGACCCCTTAGAAGGCACTCCAGGCTAGTGGGTGACCTTTGCCAGAAGAAGCTCCATCTTTGCCAGGCAGAGACAGTAACATTTATGGACCTCCTCCGTGTTCCAGGCACTGCACATTTACACAGCATATCTGTGATCCTTCCTGCATCCCTGTGAGGCTGTGAATGTTGGCCCTATCTGCAGAGGCTCTGTGGCATCCTACGGGTGGTAGTAGGCAGGATTCAAACTCAGCTCAGCCTGACCCCAGAGCCCATGCTCTTTCCCTTGTGCTCAGGGCCTTCTCTGGTCTCTGCTGCCCCGGTTATCTCTCCTATGGAGATGCTGTGTGACCCTGAGTTCAGAGACCTGGGATCCAGCCCCCACCACACAACATCCTAGCTGTGTGACCCTGAGAATGTCTCCTAACCTTTCTGCGATGGTCTCCTTGCCATGTACTAAGAATCCTGGACCTGCCTTACTCCCAGGGGGTGGTTGTGAGAACCGAATGAGCTAATGCTTGTGGATGAATTACAAACTACTGTGCAAATACTATTGACATTCATTCTGTTGTTACTGTGATATACTATGCTTTAAATAGTCTGTTCTTCCAAAAATATGAGTTCTTTCTGCTCTTAGTCCTCCCCTCCCTGTGGGCTGGCATTGGGCTTTTTATCTGGAAGACACCACCCATTCCACCCACACCTTACCCCATCCTTCCTTCTGCTCTATCTTTTGTACTTTTTATTTTTTTTAATTTTGGATTTTAAATACATTCATGTGTTCAAAATTCAAGAGGTATGAAAGGTATATATAGAGAAAAGTTCCCTCTCGCTCCTGTCCCCAGCTCCCCAGTTCCTCCTGTAGACAGGTCTTAGCAGTTTCTTATGTGTCCTTCTGGAGATATTTTATACAACAAATACAAATATATATATTCTTCTGCCTCCTGGGTTTTTTTCATACAAATTCTGCATGTTATTATACGCATTGTTCTATACTTCTTTTTTTCTTTTTTGAAACACAGGGGTTTAGATCCCTGTACCAGCCAGCTGCCAAAGTAAATAAATAAATAAAATTGAGGCATAATTTATATAGAACAAAGTGCAGAAATGCACACACGCGCGCGCGCACACACACCATGTAACCATCCAGAGGAAGATACAGAACATTGCAGCACCCCACAAAGTTATCTTTGGCTCTTCCCAGTTGATAGCAGTTACCATTCACTTCTGTCACCATAGATTAGTTTTTCCTGTACTTGAACTTGATATACAAGGAATTGTATCATATTGTACCTTTTTTCACTAGACTGTGGTTTCGAGATCATTCCATATTTGCACAAAGGGAGCTTCCTTATTTTATTTTCTGGCCGCACAGTGTATGGATGGACTGTACTTTAGTTAATCACCTTTCGATGGACATGTGGGTGTTTCTGGTCTTGTGCTGCACAGACATGCTGCAGATGTACCTTGTCCATACGTCATTTGACACCTGTGGGAGTATCTGTTGGATAAATTCCTAAGACTGAAATTACTGGGTCAAAGGATATACACGCTTATAATTTTGGCTGCTATTACCAAAATTGGATCAGTGACCACACCAACTTTAAGATACTGACAGTGATGACTTTGTGGCTGGGATGTCTGAATGCCTCGGAGGAAGCAGTGGTCCCTGGGTATCCCTGCCCCCCTCCCGCCCCCCTGGGGAGGGTGCCTGGGGCTCTGGGATGGAGCTGAGTCTCCTAGATCCCTGGGGCTTTGGGAACACTTTTGTGGCCAGGTCCTGGTCTCGGGGCCCGTGTGAACATGTACATGTCCACCCCTGCAGGTTCTCCACCAAGTCCTGGCTGTCACAGGTCTGCCAAGTGTGCCAGAAGAGCATGATGTTCGGAGTGAAGTGCAAACATTGCAGGTGATGGGCTGAGGGTGGGGAGCAGACACTTTCAGTGTTGTGACAGTCCTGTTACTTTATTCTTGGCCTTAGGGCAAGTCAGAGCTCAAAAGAGCTCCCCTAAACCTACTCTTCATAATCCCATTCAACATACCATGGAGAATGATCAGGCCTCTCTAGAGAGAGGAAGCAAGTCACTCCCGGAAGAAGGGAATATTTGAGGTGGGCTTTGAAGCATGAATAGAGGCCTGCCAGGCAGACTAAGGAGGAAAATGAATTCCAGGCCAAGGGAGCGTCTTGTACAAAGGTGTTGAGGACTGTTCTGGGAACTGTAAGGAGTTCTGAAGTTTAGCCTTACATTTTAGCACTCACGGAGTGGGAAACAGGGACAGGCAGTGGTAAAAACAGCTGGCATACAGAACGGGAGAATGCAGGTACTACACAGATCCAACTTTATTTTCTCATCCCGTCGTGGTTTCTGGTGTGAGAGAAGGGCAAGGATGGGGAGCAGTGTGGGGTGAGCAGTCTGTCCTCTGCTTTCTGCCTGTCCCCCCACTTTATGGAGGGTGGTGGCCCACTTTGCCCTTGTGTTGCTATGTGACCTGGAGCAAGGTACTTGCCCTTTCTGGGCCTCATTTTTGTCCTTTCTACATCTGGGAAGATGATTCATTGGGATTGTTCCAAGAATCTGAGCTACTGTGTGTTAATGCATCTGGGCTCCAGTTAGCCTACAGGTGGTGGGTCTTGTGCATGTAAACTGGATCAGTTGTGTTTCCTATGACTCTCCTGACCTCCAAGGAGATGCTGGAGCTTTCTCTGTGTCCCGTGGCTCCTGGCTGTTTGGTTTTAAGTTTGGGACCTCCAAGCTTTCATTTAAGCAATGCCTTTCATGTGTAGAGCACAGGGTGGCCTCTGAGCCCCGTGCTATCCCACGACAGTGGTGTGAGGTTGGTGGGGCACCAAATGTCAGCCCATTTTATCAACAAGGACACCGAGACCTAGTGCAGCAGGCAGGACTAAAACAAGAACCCACTCTTTCCAGTCCTGGCCCAGGGCTGACCCTCAGCTCGCATGGCCTGTGCTTGGTAGCAGGAGGGGCTGCACTTTGGATCCCTGGGATCCTTTGATAATGCAAACATTCTCCTTCTAATTCTTCTTTTTTGTGAGCTCAGATTTGTCTCGAGCTTCCTGAATGAGGGAGGAGGGTCTCCTTTTCTTTAGAAAAGTAGATGTGTGACCTGCGACAAGTTAAAGTGGGTGTAGGAAGACCTGCTTAGCAGAACGTGGTAAACGCTCTGCATGTAGCTACTAGCTGCTGTTACTGTTAACGTCAGGATGTTCCACACTTTCGAGCTAGCGTTTGTTGAGAAGTTTGTGGAAACTGAGGCAGTCACAGGTGAATGCTGCGCAGAGCTGCCCAGAAGATGCGTCCGAGCCCCTGCGCGGCCCTCCGCACGGTAACCTTGCCTTCTTTTCCAGGTTGAAGTGTCACAACAAGTGTACGAAAGAAGCCCCTGCCTGTAGAATATCCTTCCTTCCACGTGAGTTGTCTGCCCTTCCTCTCCTCTGCCTTCTGGTATTGGGGTGTATCTTTCCTTAGCCTGATCTGTTTCCTGCTGATAGGTTTCCCCACTTTTCAAACAGTAACTAGGCTGCGGAGGACGGAATCAGTCCCCTCGGACATCAACAACCCAGTGGACAGAGCAGCTGAACCCCATTTCGGAACTCTCCCCAAAGCACTGACAAAGAAGGTATGCTGGGCAACGGCCCTGTGGTCTGCGCTTCACCCCGACCCCTGGAATTCCTCTCTATAAAGCACCCCTAATGGGGGGGTGTGGTGGGGGAAGTATGGCGTGACCCCACAGTCTGGGATTCGTGGCCAGAGGATGGCCCTTGGGGGGTTGTATCTTTAGCCATTTAGTCGGCTTCACATTTATATCCAAATTGTAGTGATGTAGCCCTGATTCCCACTCCCTTCATCTTGGAGCTAACATTTCCTGAGCATCTACTATATGCCAGGAACTTTTTCCACTGGTATTTTATTTGACCCTCACAATAGTTCTTGATGGACACATACTGCTATTGTCTCCATTTTACAGGGGATGGAACTGAGCATGGGGTCCCCCAAAAGCAAGAGGCAGACCCAGAGTGGCAGCTTCGGTGGCTGTCCAGTTCCAAAACCTGGGCCTTAGTCACAGGGTGGCAGATATGCCTGCAGTCATTCATTAAAGCAATTGCTATGGCCTCCACTGAGAAAGGGCATGCTGCCCCCGGCCAGAGATGCTCCCAGAAGTAATATACAAAGGTGCATTTCTTGATATTGCCTGGGGATGGGCTTCTCTGCTGATGCAGGCAGGTGTCCTCTGCAGCTTGACAGTTCTTGACATGCTAGACAGACCTGCCGTGGGCCCCCATGCACATGTGCTTGGTGTCTGTGAGTCACCAGTGCTGATGGCTTCTGACAGCAGTCCCCTTCCTGGTGACCATGCAGCTGGTGGTTTTCCTGCAGTCCACTGTGGGTGTGGCTGTGCATTTTTGTTTTTTGGAGGCTGGCCAGTATGGGGATCTGAACCCATGAACTTAGTGTTATAAGGCTGTACCCTAACCAACTGAACTAACCAGCTATCCCTTGGCTGTGCATTTTTAAGTGTGTTGTGTCCCAGCCCCAGACCAGGGCCCTAGCAAGTGCCTCCCTGGGGAGTGAGCATGTGCTGGGCTGCTCCACAACTGTAGCTGGCCGTCGTCAGTAGCTCAGGCCAGCCTTGGTGGAGGTGTGGGCTGAGAGAAGAGAGAGAAAGGTGGGCCATGTGGCTGGCTGATGCTGGGACCCTGCAGGTGCAGCTTCAGGGGCTGCTCTGGGAGGGTCCAGGGCCCCCTCTTATTGTCCAACAAGAAGGGCAACTGCTCCAGACCTGACTGTCTAGTACAGGGCCACCCTGTCTTCACTCCTGCCTCTCTGCCTGTCTCATGTTGTCCCTGTGTGGTGGCTTCCCACCAGGAAGGGTAAGGCAGAGTGGAAAGATGCTAGGGTCCTGTCTTAGCCCATTCAGGCTGCTATAACAAACTCTCGTGACTGGGTAGCTTATAAACAGCAGAAATTTATTTCTCATGGTTTTGGAGGCTGGGAAGGCTAAGATCAAGATCACCGGCAGATTCAGTGTCTGGTGAGGGCCACTTCCTCATACAGGGTGCCTTCTTGCTGCATCCTCACATGGAGGAAGGGTCCGACAACCTCCCTCAGGCCCTTTCACCAGGGCACTAGTCCCATCCGTGAGGGCTCCAGGCCCTTTCACCAGGGCACTAGTCCCATCCGTGAGGGCTCCAGGCCCTTTCACCAGGGCACTAGTCCCATCCGTGAGGGCTCCAGGCCCTTTCACCAGGGCACTAGTCCCATTCGTGAGGGCTCCACCCTCACGGCCTAATCACCTTCAAAGGCCCCACCTCTTGACACCATCACCTTGGGGTTAGAATTTCAGCATATGAATTTGGGGGACACAAACATTCAGAACACAGCAGATTCACAGCCCTGGGTTTGAGCCCCGACCATTCCTCTTTCTTGCCTCTGTGACCTGGAATGAGCTAGGTGACCTCCTTAGTTTCCCGTTCTGTAAAGTGGGATAATGATGCTTTTATTCCTAGGGCATTGGAAGGCTAATAAGAGAATGTCAGGAATGTACTTGTAGGGCGTGGTACTGTCCCACAGCTAGTATTTGTTTTCCAGCCTGTCACAGGAGCAATTCCTCAGTAGGACGCCAGCGCCTGCCCCCTCTCCCCATTGCCAGTGGCATTTTTCCTGCCCTTGCCCTCTCCTGTCCAGCCACACAGGCTCCCCATCCTTCACAGTCCTTGCACACCCCTTGCTCATCTCACATCCAGTGGTCCCCAGCACGTTGGCTCCAGCGTCTCCACCCACCTGGACTGCCCCCCACCCCCCAGCCATCCTTTCAGTTCTTCAAGACCCTCTAGGTGTCCCTCCTGCTCCAGGAGCCCCTCCTGCATGTACCTGCTCAGCCCTTTGCCGCTGAGCAGCCGCGGTCTAGTGGTGCTGACCGTCTCTCTCTTCTCACTGAGGGTAGCGACCCGGGATCGTCCTTCCAGTTTCCCGTTTATGGTCATTATTATAATACACACTAACAGTTACTGAGGTCTCACTAGGTGCCCAGGCATTGTGCTAAGGGAGATGTGTATGTCCCAGTCCTCTCACAAAGGCCAGCCAGTCCCTCTGACCTCTGACCTCTTATCCAGCTACCTCCCCCCGACCCCCCACCACCCCAATGTCCCAGATGCTCTGTGAGGGTCAGGCAATGTTGTCTTGCCCCTTCTATGTCTCTCATGCCTGCTTTGGTGCCTGGCACACAGTAGGCAGTGAGGAAATGTTTGTATTGATTGTTAAATGAATGAACAGCCCTATGATGCAGCAATTGTTACTCCTTTTTATAGACGGCACCCTGCAGCTCAGAAAGGTTGGGTCATTTGTCCAAGATCACATAGGTACTGAGTGGAGGAGCTGGGATTCCACCTGCCCTCAGACCCACTCTCCTACTGCCCTGCTACAGGCCTGGCCCTGCCGACAGGGACAGCGTCCTTGGCCAGTGAGGCCCCCTGCATCAACTTTGGTGGGTTCCAGAGTTCACTGTGCACCCAGAGCTTTCAGGACCTGCAGTAGAGAAACCTGTTGAACCTGTTGTTTAACCCAACTTGGCCCCAACTTTTTTACCAAGGAATTCTTCTCCCACACCCCGAGGAATTGGTGTTTGGGTCTAGGAAAGACTGATCAGATCCAGCATCCCACGTAACACAGCATCCCCTTGTAGCCCTCTCTCTGGGGGTCCTTTGGCCTTTCTAGAGCCCAAACCATTGGGTGGTCCTAGCCAGCAGTCTGCAAAAGAGTGGAGCAAGCATTTGTTAGTCACCTACTGTGTCTCACACACTCTCACCTTGTTATGCAGCTGATTCACACAGTAACCCTCTGGCATAGGTGTTGTTGATGTTTTCACTTTGTGGTTGAGGAAATGGAAGCTCAGAGAGGGGAAGGAAGTTGCCCAGAGTCACACAGCTAAGAGGCAGTAGAGTCTATGTCTGTCTCCAAACCCAGTGCTATTTCTGCCAAGCCACAGGGAAAAACGAGCTTGGACTTCCCTTCCTGCCCTACTCCCAACTTATTCCCTTCAACCCCCATTTTCCCATTTCTCATGCAGCACCCCTCCCCGTCCCCAGGGCACTCTCATGCCTTCTCTCCTGGGCTCTTGCTCTCAGCGGTGAGATGTTGGGGCTGTCCTCAGGGGTCTCCTCTGTGCTGGGGTTGGGGGAGCCATGGTCTGAAGGAAGCCTGGAGCTAGGATCTGATCAGGCCACCACCTGTGATCATGGGCAGAGCCTTTGCCTCCATGGGCCCTGATCCCCTGAGCTCTGAAGTGGGGCTGTGATGGTGCGTGGTGTTGGTAGAGTGGATGCTAGAATCGGTGCTACCCAAACTTCATTGAGTTGCAAACCATCTTTGTGGTTTCTGTCTTAACCAGGTACCACCTGGACTAATATTTACTTATAAGCATTCATTTTTATGTAATCTTCAGTGTCGTAATTGGAAAACCACCAGCACTTCCCATAGCTAGAAAGTTATCATTAAAGGGGCCGGCCCGGTGGCGCACTGGATAGTGCGCTGCTTGGGAAGCGCGGCGGCGCTCCCGTCCGAGGGTTCGGTTCCCACATACAGACCGGCTCCCGCTCACTGGCTGAGCGAGGCGCGGGAGCAACGCCGAGGCTTGCGATCCCGTTGCCGGTCCCCGGTCCGGTACGGGGGCAACACTGAGGGTTGCGATCCGTTGCCGGACACGGAAAAAAGACAAAAGACAAAAAAAAAAAAAAAAAAAAAAAAAAAAAAAAAAAAAAA